GTTCCAAGTAAAGTGGATTTAGAACCAGAATACCCAAAAAAACCGAATTTTTTTGGTAATTACTTTCTACTTAGTGGGTTGAACTTTTAAAATTTTCATATTGATATATGGACTCCAGGGGACGGTAGGTTGATGAATATGAACCCAAAATTTATAAAATTTTAGTCTAAAATTATGTACAAACTTTAAACTACACTCTTGAAATAATTATAGTCAATCCGATTTTAAAAGAATGAGCTCCACATGTTTTAACATTTTCACATGATATAAAGTACAAAAACACATAGTTGACAAGTTGAAAATTTTCAACTTTGATATCTCGAATTCGGGGGATTGTAATTCATTGAATACTAACCCAATAATGATAAAATTATAGTCTAAACTCATTTATAAACTCTAAAACACAAGTTGAAAAAAAATTGCATGTCAATCTGACTGAAAACGAATTATATGTGCATGTTTTAAAGTTTTCACAGAATATAGAAAAACTTAAAAACTAAAAACTTCTAGCTTTGATATATCGACTTAGGGGGACTGTAAGTAATTGAATATGAATCCAAAATTGAAGAAACTTATAATCTAAAGTCGTTTATAAACTCTAAACTACACTCTAGAAAAACCGTATGTCAATCCGAATTTAAACAAATGAGATATGTATATTTTAACATTTTCACAGAATACAAAATACAAAAACAAATAGCTGAAAAGTTGAAAATTTTCAACTTTGGTATCCCGACTTTAGGGGACTATAATTTATTGAATATTAAACCAAAAATGACAAAATTTTAGTCTAAACTCATGTACAAAGTCTAAACTACAAATTGGAAAAAACCACATGTCAATTCGACTTCAAACGCATTAGATATGCATGTTTTAAAATTTTCATAGAATACTAAAAACTTTTAGCTTTGATATCTTGATTTTGGGGAACTACAAGTTAATGAATACAAAGCTAAAATTGATAAATTTTTAGTCTAAAATCATGTACAAGCTCTAAGTTACACGTTGGAAAAAACGACATGTTAATCGGATTTGGAACGAATGAGATATACCTGTTTTAAACTTTTTTACAAAAAATATTTTCAGCCCCTAAAAGTGGTTCTGGTTCCTAACACCGGTTCCAGTTCTTAAACACGGCTTACCTGGACTCGATGTACCTAAACCCACGTTAGACGAAACCCAGATAAATACATTCTTTAAACTTGGAACCGGAACCGATTCTATATATTTTGGTTCTAACGGTTCCGACTCCGATCAATTCCGGTTTCGGTCCGACTTTCCGGTTTTAAATCCCATCCCTTTATATTTGTTGATGGTCTTGACCATCTTGGAAGGATAAATGTTTTCGTTATGGATAAAACCGTTATTCAATAAGCCAGATTTTATAAAATTATTGTAATTTGGAATTCTTTTGGTTCGACTATTGGATTTATTATTATTTAACTATTGGGATTTCAATTTTGTTACTAACAAAATCATTACATAAAACTATGCACTCCATAAAATTAAATTTAAATTTGAAATTTATTTGGCTTAACCATTTAGCAATCTTAAACTATTTTTGTTTCTAAAAGAACTATAAGAAAAAAAATAAAATAAATAAAATAAAAAACCACTTCATATACACATCAATCCAGAATTGTCTATTTCAGACTAAATAATTATTTCATTAACCCCAAATATTTTGATCACTAACAATAATTTTAGAAAATAACAAGAAAATATTTATAATCATCTCAAAAAAAAAGTTCAAATCAGTTTTTATCCATATTTAGGTTTAAAAACATCGAACCAATTTGTTTTCTTGTTATGTTTCTAAAGCAACAATTTGCTATGCACGAAGTAGTAAATCTACACGAGCAATGGTTCTATCAAAATCTTAAAGCATAACAAATTGCATAGAAAATAAATGAATATTGAAGAAAGTACCATAAAGAAAGCGAAAATCTGACAGGTAGATTGATCACAATCATAATTGTCATCATGGAATCCGATCCTATATTTTTAGCTATGAGATTAAACTTAATTTACATCATTGTATTTTAGACTTTTTTTTCTTAAGAAGGCATTGTAGTATTGTACCCTTAAAATTCTACCTGATCAGCACATCAAACCAATTGTAGGTCAATTTGCTGACTTCTTCACCTATCTCATCATTCTTTACTTGTTTTCAATACATTTAGGACATTAAACTCATAAAATTAAGAAAAGAAAACAGAACAATAGATGACGACTCTCAAAAGCGCTGCTTTTTCTGATTTGACTTTTTTCCTCCATCTGGAGTGCTAGTAGCCGCCCGCTTTTGCGCCTTTCCAACTTTCTTTTCTTCTATCAGAAAATTCACGATATATAATCAAATAATGTTGTGTTAACATATAAAATAAAAACCAAGCAATTAGGAGTCTTACTTGCAGTAACATTCAGGCTATTCTTTTTATATTGCTGCTAAAATATCAAAACAAAACACAATATAATTCTATTCATGATTCTATCTCAATTAAAAATGTCAAAACCAACCTTGTTTGTTGCATCTTGCTCTTCAACATTGTCTTTGTCATCATCAAAGGAATCATGTTTATCCTGAAAAATAATGCATCAACATGTTTATTCTACATGAAACTTCAAAAGGAGCATGTAGAAACTTCAAGAGGAGCATGTATGTACCTGATCATCAGCAGAATTTGTATGAACTTTAGGATCAGTGATCACATAACACACACGCAAAGTGGTCAAGGAGTAGACAACACCGAACTCCAATATTAATACAATATAAACATAGACATTCTAAGTTAGTTGTGAAAAGGATATCCACGCTTTAAACGATAACGTGGAGTTTTAAATCCAAAGAGATGCACACTTCCATTTTTCCAATTGTGTGAGATCTGAATGTCTTTCTCAAACGCCAAGTTATATACTACTTGAGGCAGCCTCTTCGGGTGAAGGGTTCCTACTAGATGCTTTTCGGCATCTACAGTGATGTGCAGATTAATAAACTCATCTTTTTTCTTCTTAACTTCTCCAAGAGACGCCTGAGTACAAATTATTTTAGTTAGTTGTATTGTTAACGTAGCAAAATAAGCATATATCCACACTCTTCCAAAAGTTATACCTGAAAAATATACAAAACCTCGGCTTCAAGTCTTACTTTAAACGGTGTACCACTTTCAACCTCAACAGCTAAATCAAAACAATATGAGTTTGCAAAAAATAATAAAATTATACAACTTAGAAAAAGTAACACATATAGTGTAAAGGAATAGAGATACATAAAGGTACATTCCAACTAACTTCCACGACAATAAACCAGCATTTGAAGATAAAAAGGAAGAGAGAAAAAACATTTGAACGAAACCACGAAACAGGGACAAAAGAAAAACGATGAATATCATCAATGTTAATGATAGTGAAGATTTGCGTTACGGTGATCATTATTAACGTCAAAAGAAAGTCTAAATTTTCATCGAAAAAAAAAAAAAAACTAACGACATAAATAAAAAGGAAGAGAAAAAGAGCGTTACACCAAAACTCCATTATCGGAGAAGAAGAGAGAGTCGAGAAAGAGAGCGGTGGAGAATGTGAGAAGATAAAATGTTAGGGTTTGGAGACCGTAATTTTATGTTTCAGTAAACGTAGACCGTAAAAAACCAATTTATTTTGTATTATTTTTTAATGTGTTAAAATATTTATATTTATTTCTAATTCGATCGTTTTTTTAGATAACAAAGATGATACAAATGAACACTAAATTAGGGGTAAGGAAAAACTAAACCTTAACCCAAAAAAAATATAATTAACTGTATAACTCGAAATCAATTAATTGAAACCGAAACAAAAACCAAACGATGTGGTTTCACTTGTTTCAAAAACCGAAACAAATTGTTAGGGTTCCTTGTGAAAAATAGTTGCATGTTCTGTAACGTTTTATTAAAATCAAATTTTAATAGTTGGCATACGTTAATTGAAAAAATGTTGATTTAAGCTACCGGTTTATACACATATCATTAATTGTTAAAAACTATTAATTGTTAAAAACTATGCTGATATTATGATAATTAAAGATGAGACGCCATCAAAATTTGGGCATGGATATGCCGATTCTTACACAATCAACTATAATTTGTTGTATGATTATTGTATTTTGTTGAGTTTTAGTGTTTTGCTTATATTAATTTGTGTTGATTTAGTATTTGTTTAATAATGTTGAAATGTTGTTAAAGTATATAAAAGCAGTCAAAATGTTTCTATAATATAGCCTATGTAAAATAAGAGTTATATAATTTCCTAAAAAACATGTAATATAAATACAAAATAGATGATTGTTTACGTAATATATATATATATATATATATATATATATATATATATATATATATATATATATATATATATATAATATATATATATATATATAGTAAGGTTCATTTGAAACCACCTATATTTTGTGAAACCGTGAGACGTATTTTTTTTTTTTATTATTTTTTTTTTTTAATTTTTTTAGTTAATTCAAGTTCCGAAAATAATATTTAACAAAAAAGAATTTTTGGATTTTTCCATTTATTTTGCATTTTAAAATTATTTTTTAGAATATGTACAGTGTAATATTCAATTAGAATATTTCACGTATTTTTCAAAAAAAAAACGGCATTTTTTTTATTTTTTTATTTTTTTTAGTTAATTCAAGTTCCAAAAATAATATTTAAAAAAAGAATTTTTAGATTTTTCCATTTATTTTGCATTTTAAAATTATTTTTTAGAATATGTACAGTGTAATATTCTATTAGATATTTCACGTATTTTAAAAAAAAAAATGAGATTTATTTTTTATTTTTTTTTTATTTTTTTTAGTTAATTCAAAATCCGAAAATAATATTTAAAAAAAGAATTATTATATTTTTTCATTTATTTTGCATTTTAAAATTATTTTTTAGAATGTGTCAGTGTAATATTCTATTAGAATATTTCACGTATTTAAAAAAAAAAAAAAACGAGATTTTTTTTTATTTTATTTTTTTTTTTTAGTTAATTCAAGTTCCGAAAATAATATTTAAAAAAAGAATTTTTGGATTTTTTCATTTATTTTGCATTTTAAAATTATTTTTAGATTTTATCTCACGGTCTCACAAAAGTAGAATTATCTCAAATGAACATGAACCTATATATATATATATATATATATATATATATATATATATATATATATATATATATATATATATATATATATATATATATATATATATATATATATATATATATATATATATAGAGAGAGAGAGAGAGAGAAAAAAAAATTTGAAAAGTAAGTAGGCATATGGTTATGTTCGCTTTGTTGTAGGCCTAACCTCTAACATATTGTGTGTTGCAATATGTGCTTAGGTTGTCGGGTCTTGGTGTCTTGGATCTGGACAAGAAATCTGAAGGTGGTGCCATTAGCGAGTTCTCGACGAGATACCTAATTGTCATCACAGCAAAATCGTTAGAGTTGACCCAGGGGTTGTACGCCGGAAGATGATACAAATGAACACTAAATTAGGGGTAAGGAAAAACTAAACCTTAACCCAAAAAAAATATAATTAACTGTATAACTCGAAATCAATTAATTGAAACCGAAACAAAAACCAAACGATGTGGTTTCACTTGTTTCAAAAACCGAAACAAATTGTTAGGGTTCCTTGTGAAAAATAGTTGCATGTTCTGTAACGTTTTATTAAAATCAAATTTTAATAGTTGGCATACGTTAATTGAAAAAATGTTGATTTAAGCTACCGGTTTATACACATATCATTAATTGTTAAAAACTATTAATTGTTAAAAACTATGCTGATATTATGATAATTAAAGATGAGACGCCATCAAAATTTGGGCATGGATATGCCGATTCTTACACAATCAACTATAATTTGTTGTATGATTATTGTATTTTGTTGAGTTTTAGTGTTTTGCTTATATTAATTTGTGTTGATTTAGTATTTGTTTAATAATGTTGAAATGTTGTTAAAGTATATAAAAGCAGTCAAAATGTTTCTATAATATAGCCTATGTAAAATAAGAGTTATATAATTTCCTAAAAAACATGTAATATAAATACAAAATAGATGATTGTTTACGTAATATATATATATATATATATTATAATATATATATATATATATATATATATATAATATATATAATATATATATATATATATATATATTATATAGTAAGGTTCATTTGAAACCACCTATATTTTGTGAAACCGTGAGACGTATTTTTTTTTTTATTATTTTTTTTTTTTTTAATTTTTTTAGTTAATTCAAGTTCCGAAAATAATATTTAACAAAAAAGAATTTTTGGATTTTTCCATTTATTTTGCATTTTAAAATTATTTTTTAGAATATGTACAGTGTAATATTCAATTAGAATATTTCACGTATTTTTCAAAAAAAAAACGGCATTTTTTTTATTTTTTTATTTTTTTTAGTTAATTCAAGTTCCAAAAATAATATTTAAAAAAAGAATTTTTAGATTTTTCCATTTATTTTGCATTTTAAAATTATTTTTTAGAATATGTACAGTGTAATATTCTATTAGATATTTCACGTATTTTAAAAAAAAAAATGAGATTTATTTTTTATTTTTTTTTTATTTTTTTTAGTTAATTCAAAATCCGAAAATAATATTTAAAAAAAGAATTATTATATTTTTTCATTTATTTTGCATTTTAAAATTATTTTTTAGAATGTGTCAGTGTAATATTCTATTAGAATATTTCACGTATTTAAAAAAAAAAAAAAAACGAGATTTTTTTTTATTTTATTTTTTTTTTTTAGTTAATTCAAGTTCCGAAAATAATATTTAAAAAAAGAGAATCAAGTTAAATCGATTGTCGCTCCATAGCCGTATGGGTCATGCTAATGGACCTGGCGTCAACAAGTCCCTCCAATCTGGTGTTATTAGTAAGAAACCAATGATATCGGACTGGACACAATCATACAAGCCGTGGGTTATCAAGTCCCCCTAGTATGATGTGATTGGATTGCGACCAATCGGGTTGGACTAGGCAAAGCAACAATGCATCAAATAAATAAAAAGAATGACCGAACCTCACCTACGAGAGTTGTGGTGTTAAGCGGTGCAGTGTAGCTGTTGCTACGATCATGCATAGCAGGGCTACTGATAATGTTATGCAAAGCAGGGCTGCTATGCGACAATGGTGTCAATAAGATGTCGTGTCAGGGTAGCTATGAAGCGTAACCTCTCCATACAATCTTTGAGACTATTATTCGATGTGGTTGTTGTGCCAAGCTTTGAAGTCCGTAAATAAATGCAATGAACTCGATTCGTGGTTGCCGCGTTCCGGTCACAGCTGAAAGTTGTCCATAAAAACACCATTTGAGGAAACAGCATGTGCCCCGACGAGGGGGATGAGATATGTATCTAGCACCGAGTAGAGGATTATATTTCTACGCTCGCTGGGGAAACTTCGAGTGAGTAGTCAACATTACACACTTCCCGAGTCCCTTGCATTTGATTTACATGCCGAGCTTTGCTCTGCGAGCTTCTCGGTGGCACGCTTGAGTACCATGGCGCTGGAGCAATTATCTAAAAAGAGAACACAATCCAATTTTATAATTTGGATTGTTTTCTTGAAATCATAAATTGATTCATATTTTTTTTTTTCGCGATTGCTTCAAAAAATTTTGCGAGTAGTACTAGAACCGCTCCTCTTTTTTTTTTTTGTTAAATCGAGTGAGTCTGGACCGCAATACGCATTCTAAAGATGTATTTTGCTTAGCGGAGCTTGCGGCACGCGAGCATAAATGGCTTTTTTTTGTTTTTCGAGGATGTTCCATTTTGACATTAAAAATCTAATTTAATGGAAGCCTAAAATTTGTTGGAACCCGAAAGCTGTTGAACCCAAAATGGAGTTGCTTAGCCTACTTGTCATGAGAGAGATCCAAAATAAAACCTTGTTGGAGCCCATTTTCGAATTTAATTTGGCCCAAAGTAAGAGAAGGCAACCCATTTGCTAATTTGTTCAAACGATATTAGGGTTACTAAAATACACATAGGGCCCACCATTCTTATCTACCAGCTTTGACTTTTGAATGAAGCAATGCCTTCTAACCTATCACACTTTGTTTTAGAAAAACGCATGAGAGGAACATTGGCGACTAAGATCTAGTGGCTCTCGGTAGTTACTTGTCAGAGTTCATCAGATGCAGAGGAAGATCGGAGCTTCGATTTTCCGGTGACAGGTGGTAACAATGAGCTCGTCGGAAGCGTTGTGCTTATGGGTCGTCGGTGCTAAAAATGGTTAGCTATTGGAGGTCATTTGGTGGGGCATTAACACTCGACATTAAATATGTTGTTGCTAAAGGATTGACAGGTGGCTACAGGTGCACTTTGCGACGGCGAATCAAGGACCAGTAGTTGGACGACGTTGCACCGTCAGAGATGACATTAATATCAGAGCTAGGAGTGGATCAAAGCAGCGGGAAACTACCGGCGATACTTTGGTCCTAGTTGGCAGTGCCGATCGAGAAACGGAGGTTGGTGGTCATTACAATGCTACCCGTAGCAGTGCTTCGTTGGAGCTGTGTCGGCTGGCTAAGAATGATCAATGATGG